ACCCAGGGTGCAGACCAGGAAGCAGAACCCTGACCACCCAGGGTGCAGACCAGGAAGCAGAGTCCTAGTTTAACAGACCTCTCTGCAGCTTCTCTACTGTTACCCACTCTTTACTCCATCCAGACAGTGTCTTGCCCACGACCAAAATCTAATAAATTAGCAAAGATTCCCAAAGGAGGAAATCATGATAATTTAATTAAAATAAAAATAACTTCAATTGGGGAAAAAGTTAAACGATTAAATGTGGTCTGTTTAACATAAGATCGCTTTCCTCTAAAAGTCTGCTAGTTAATGACTTCCACATTCCAACCTCTCTCTACAGGGAACTAAAGGCCCAGTTCTGGTGATGTTTGGTACCAGGCTGGTCAGAGTAGATCAGAACCTGTTGAGAATCAGAGTTAGCAGCAGCCGACTGGTTCCAGATGACAGGAGTAGAGCCTGTACCTGCTGGTTCCCACTAAGGCCTCCAGAACTCCATCGCTAAAGATGTTGAACCTTGAAACTGATGCATTCCAGCAGCAGGAGATCCATCAGGTCCTGTCAGCAGAGACCTTGGAACTACTGGTCTAATTCTTTCATTCTGATCCTGTTATATCGTTGGTGGATCTGGTTTCTGGTTCTTCTGCTGCTCACAGAAACTCTGCTTCCTTTTCTGGGTTTGAACTGATGAGAAACAGGAAGTCAGATTTTAACTCCAGGCCCAGAGCAGGTTCTGAGCTTGGAGCTTGTCAAGCAGTAGGTGGTCCACTCAGGGATGATTGATCTTCCAGATTCGGGCTCAGAATCTAGAACCACAGGTTTCAGTTGTGGATGAGATTCATCCTGAGATGCTGAAGGTTCTGGAGATGGTGCCGTGTTTGTTCCAGACGGAGAGGCTGATGGGTTTCACACATCCTTCATGTGCTGGAGTGTTTGGACCGGGCAGCTGGTTCTGTTTCTAAAGCTGAGTAAAGAAGAAGCTAAAGTCCCAAAACACACAACCATGAGTGGTTCTGCAAAAACCTGTAGAACGTTGATGAAGATCAGCTTAGATGATTTCTATAAATCCTAGAAGGACGTTAGATCCTGAAACCCGTCCTGCTGCCGTCATCTCTGACCCACCAGAACTCCTTCTGTTCTGTCTTCTCCTCAGGGAGGTGTGGGAGCTGGATCCTCCAGAGGTGGTGAATTCAGTCCTGCAGTTTGCTGCCTGGGGAGTCACAGGCCAACAGCTGGTAAGGTCCCAACCACGGCTCTGCCTTAAGAACCAGCTGGACCACTTCCTGTGGGAAACCTGCTCCTTCACCTCAACGCTTTATATGAAATATTGATTATCATTAAACCTTCATAGGGCCCTCAGTGAAATACTTTAAAAATCTGAATTTACAGCCGATAGTTTTATTGGAATCCAGGCAGAGACCTTATTACCTTTGGAACATTAAAAAATATGGATATTTTGATGGTAGAAATGAATGTCAATGTAATAAGAAGAAACACCATCATGCCCGAATATATTAAGAAAAATAACAAAAGTGCTTCTAGAAGAAATTCATGAAAAAAAACTCTGAGAGTGACAGAAACACATTTATTTGGTCCAACATAACCTAAGAGGCATTAATGCTGATACTGGGACTGACAGTTTTTATTTTATAAACTTAAATATGATTGTTAACTAGAATGATTAACTTTTTAACTCTTTTTCTTTTTCCTATAAATAATTATATACTTAAAGCATCTCATTTTAGATTATTCGAATCATCAAAAAAATTGACATATTGTTTGATTAATGAAATAATCAATGAATGGAGCTCCAGTCCTGTTTAATCTTCTCATTTAGAAACACAGAGGTTGGTTTAGGCTCTGCTGCTGCGTCGATACAGTAAATTAGACTGTTATCACTGGGGTATCCATATAAGCTGGTATTTCTCATTAGCTGCAGATTAACGCCGTGTTTAATGACTTCAGTGAACATATAAAGTGCTGACTCATGCATCAGGCTGTCTATTGAAACAGCTGATGTAGAAGCTAATACATCTTGTATGTCAAAATGTAAATATGACTAAAATGTGTAATATACCTTTTAAGGCTTCGAGAAGCCGTTTTATAAATCCAATCTTCAATTGTTTATACTCCATTCATCCATCAGGATCCACAGAATGAAAGTAATCCATTTATAGTAAAAAATATTCCATGATGAGAAAATGGCCACATAACCTCCGGTTTTTGACATCAGAAAAGTTAGCTGGTCATAGCTAATGCTTAGCATCTTGCTAATATTTACTTCCTATTACTTAACTCAGTTGTTAGCCCGCGATGTTTGGTGTGGTTCTTTACATCTTCTTACCTACAAGACAAAAGTGTTGCATCTTTGTCTGACTCGGTTTCATTCAGGGACAGCCGCTGAAGTCTCCCAAGCGCTCCTTTCCTGTCAGCCAATGAGGCAGCGAGTAGAGCGATATTACGCCTCCTAGAGTCCTGCTGTTATTGGATGAGACCAAATGGGCTGTTGCGCTTTGTAGCCAATGAAATAAGGTTTCAAACAAGGCTAGACATGATATAGAACAAATGTAATACAATGAGAAATGGCTTTTCTCAAGCATGTCTTTATTACTGCTGTTAAAAAGAAAACTATTGTTTTCAAGAAGAAAAAAACATGTTTGAACTGCTGCAGCTTAGGCTGTGTTTTACTCACCCAATTTTCATTTATATATTCAGAAACTAGAAGGATTTAGCTTTCAAATAATGTATCACACGTGTAATTTGGGCTTACAGTTCCTCAGTTATTTGCTTTTCCATTTGGGTATGCAAAATATGAGAGAGTTACTTCAAAATGAGGGGGATGTTTAAAGATGTTCCATTTGTCCTCCTCTGACTTTAGATCTTAATAAAAAGAATAAAAATAAACTGCGAGTTTTAGTCTCTCCTTATTAAATAGCAGAGCTCAGTCTGTCTTAGAAGGCAGGACTTTCCTTCCAGACTGACAATGATTGTTTTATATTTTCGGCTACTTTAGATCGTCGGTGAAAAAGAAAATAATTGCAAATATAGGGAATAATATGTTGAGACTCCACAAGAGATTAGAATCTAAAGGATGGTGCAGTACAGTTTGTCTGAGTGGAGTTGCCATAGGATGATGTCATAAGAAGGGGCGGGGCCCCGAGCAGATCTGGTACCTACAGCGGTTCTTTAAGCTGATATCTCTTTTTCTTCCTTTATTTAGTTGATAAAAATGACACAACCATAACTTTTCTCATTTAAACAAAAATCGAACCTTTATTAACAAATCAAACAGGACATTGACATTGTTAAATGGAGAGTCCGGTCATTCAGGGAACAGATGGAGAGATTGACCGATTTAAAAAAAAAACATAATATAAAATATTGACGGGTCGATAAACGTATCACCTAAACAATTTGTGTCCGATAGAAAATGAAAATGTGACTCCAGGGCGTCTGTATAAAAGTACCGATGATTCTGGAAAGGCTCAGAGCTTCTGACAGGAAGTGGTTCTGCTTCTTCTCCATCCACCTTCATGTGATGACGGGATGTTATGCTGTGTTTTGGAGAATGACTTTGCTCTATATGTGCAGATCTACATCTTTGAAAACAACATCTATTATCGATCTCACGTGAAGAGCAACTCTCTGCGTCTGACGTCTTCAGGGAAGGAAGGAGTCATCTTCAATGGGATCGCCGACTGGCTCTACGAAGGTTCCTGCTCTGTTATCGCTCTGCTCTTTGAAGGTCGGGTTCAGATCCAAACCATAACTGAAGGCTTCTGTTGAACAGAGGAGATCCTGCAGACCCACGTGGCCCACTGGTGGTCCCCGGATGGGGAGCGGTTGGCTTTCCTGGTCCTCAACGACACTTTGGTCCCAAACATGGTTCTGGCCCGCTTTACTGGTGCAGCGTACCCCAAACAGAAGCAGTACCCCTACCCCAAGGTAACTATCCACGATAAACACTAAGCATCAACCTGTTTACATCAGATGTTCCTCTGACCAGCCTTCAGTGGGGGGCCGCTGACCCCGCCTCCACTGTTCAAATCAGCCAATCACAGCGCCCCTAAAGGCCAATGAAGAGAACAGAAACATCTGGAAGAAACATGACACTGACTTCTGCCCCCGCTCAGCCGGAAGACAAGATGGCCGCCCAGAAGACGTCCTCCATGTGACCTGAAGGGGGAAGCGGTTCCATGCAGCAACAGAACCGGGAGTCCAGTGGCGGTTCTGCAGAACCGGCTGCTTCCCTTATTTTGCTGGACCTGGATAAGACCCTTATTTCCTGCACCAAGGTCCTCCACACAGGTCAGAGGTCAAAGGTCAGGACCCTGGACCTGTCTCAGAGGGTCCAGATCTCTGTAGACCAGAGCTGAGAGTCCAACTGCTAAAGATTCGGTCCAAAATGGATCCAGAACTGCTAACCAAACACAGATCAAAGTCCAGACCTGAGGTTCTGACTGGGATCCTGTTTGGACCCTCAGAGATCAGCCGGAACCTCAGTGAGCTCTTGAAGGATGACCAGAACCGGCGGTTCCTACTTCGTCCCATAGCTTCCAGTATCAGATCCTTACTGGTCAGATGAGACGCCGCTGGTCAGAAAGCAGCTAGATGTTCGGTTCTGGAGGTCAAGTCCAGTTTAACTCAGCGATGCGCTGAGCAGAACCAGGACCAGAACCCTCCTGGGTCTATGGATCCAGGTTTCTGAATCAGTTCTGAAACCAGGTGTCTTAAATGTTCTGATCCGTTTTAAAAACCTGTCTTCTGTCCTGCAGGCGGGCCAACCCAACCCAACCGTCAAGCTGTTGGTAGTGAATATCTACGGACCGACCCACACGTTGGAGCTGATGCCGCCAGAGACGCTGAGGCTGCGGTGAGCTGACTCCGTTTTGTCAGAACCTTTAACCGGGCCGGTGCTGACTCACTCTGACCACTTTCTGCTTCTAGGGAACATTATGTGACGATGGTCAAATGGATCAGCAAGACCAGGACGGCGGTGAGGTGGCTGAACCGGGCCCAGAACGTCTCCATCCTTACCGTGTGCGACACCACCACCGGAGCTTGCGTGACGGTCCGTTCCAGAACATTCCATACCGGGTCACAGGATAGAACCTTCTCACTTCAACAGGACGGCTGACCCGAAACAGAAAGTGGAGCAGAACGGTTCGGAGTACCAATGGTTTCCTCCATTGGTACTTTAATAGAACCAGAACCAGAGTCCAGCCTGGTGGTCCAAACCAAACCAGGACCTCATGTCTTCGTTTGGTACCAGAACCATAAAGCAGAACCATCTAAGCGGTTCTACAGCGGGTTCTTTTCTTAAAGTTACAGAACCAGAGGTTCTAGAGCAGCAGGGTTCTATGTGATCTATTTCTAGTTCTAGGTTCAGCTCATTGGACTAAAGTCCAAGTATTTAGATCACAGTAGGATTATGGGTCACAGTGGCCTAGTCAAAGTCCAGACCTATATCAGTGTGGTTGGATGGTTCTCCATCCGTCCAGAACCTCAGTCTGCTGGAGATAAACCCAGAGACCCGCAGCCAGAGGAGGTTCTGCTGAGTTCTGACCCAGTCTGGGTTCAGATGGACCTAAACATGTTTAACTTGCCGTCAGTCCTGATGAAACATCTGGATCTACCAGCTTAGTTTTTCCTGTTGGTTCTGAACAGAACCAGTTCCTCCTGCTGGTTCTGATTGGTTCTAACGTTGGGTCTCTTCTTGTTTGCAGAGACATGAGGAAAGCTCCGATCTCTGGCTCTCCAAACAGGTGAACCTTCACCCCCTCACCATCATAATCATCATCATCCTCAGCTGAACTCCTGATCAGTAAACGTAGACCTAGGCTAACGTTAGTCCAGGCTGCTGCAGACTGGCTAACGTTAGCCCTGGAGAGCGAAAAACCATGAGAACATCGGAACCACCCAGCTGATGGATGTGGGTCATCCTTTCAGTGAATCCATGTTTCTTCTCAACAGAACCAGGAGCCCGTGTTCTCCAAAGACGGTGAGCGCTTCTTCCTGACCGTCCCGGTCAAACAGGGAGGACGGGGAGAGTTCCACCACATCGCCATGTTCACCACACAGGTGAGGCTCCGCCCACAGGAAGACCCTGCTGCCTCCATCAGACGTTACCACAGCAACAGCTCCCACCCTGACTGTCATTGAAAGGTCTCTACTGCTCCTGCCTGTTTCAGTTCAGAGCGGATCAGAACGAGGTCCGACATCTGACCTCCGGGAACTGGGAGGTGACCAGGATCATCGCCTACGACGAGAACACAGAGAACCTGTGAGTGTGGACTTCCAGATAGTTTCCGTTGGCGACCAGCCATCCAGGTGCCCCTAACAGACACCTGGGGAATAGGAGTCAGTATTATCGGAAGCTGGCTGGTTGAGCTCAGGCTTCTCCAAAGAAGGAAACCAGGAACCTGTAGGGAAACTGGTCAGCTGTGAGTTCTGTCTGACGGGGCTGACTCTGCTTATTTCCCCTCCAGGTATTTCCTGAGTACCGAGGGATCACCACGGAGACGGCAGCTTTACAGGTTCGGCTGTTTTGGTTCTGCTCCCAGTTTAGTAACCAGTCCAGCTGAGAACAGCCCGATGGTTGCTGGATGATCTTGTTTTGCTTGGTGTGATGAAGCTTCATTAAACCAACGGGTCAGAGTCTGTTAGTCTGGTGATAAAACTGAAGGATGATCGTGTTTAATTGGAGTAATTGTCACCCAGAAGCAGAACACCTCATCTAGACTAGAGCTGCATTTATCATCAGTCTGAATAGATCAAAGGCTGAATGTGTTTGTGGTTCCACCATTAAAGCCTCATATTTGACCTTTTCTGTCCTCAGCGTTAAAACTGTGGGTCTGTTCCCACGGAGATGTCTGACCTGTGAGCTCAGCAAAGCTCACTGTCTGTACTTCCATGCTGACATCAGCCCCTGCAAGCAGCATGTTCTGCTCCACTGTAAAGGTAGGCCTGCTTTGGACCTGGGGGGGAGTTAACTGGGGGCCACTGGTCCAACAGAGACCTGTCATCGATTCAGGTCAGACAGGAAGTCTGCGATTGGTTCAGGTCAGACAGGAAGTCTGTGATTGGTTCAGGTCAGACCTGTTCTTATCAAAAAGGAGGAAAGTGATTCACCTGATTTAGTTTTTTTCTCTAAACTTTTAACAAAGAAAATCTGAAATGATTTTATTTTAAGAAATAATAACTTGTATTAATTTGTGTGTCATAATCAGCAACCAGAAGTGTTAAGATATTTTAAATGGATGTTCTTCTGTGTTTAGGTCCAGGGGCTCCGACTGTGATCCTTCACAGCCTCAACAACTCAGGTAACTGGTTCAGATTAAAACTTTCAGCCAGAACCGAATCCTATTCAGCCATTACAATAAACTGCTTATTCCCTCCTGTGTTATCTACCCCACCAGTTTAGTGCTACTTCGTCCCAGTGGAATTTCCCATTGGGAACCTGCTAGCACTAAGATGCTAACTGGTTAGCAAGATGCTTCCCACAAACCGGCCACAACCAAACTTGCTTGCGAACCTTCCGCCAAAACAATCCCGCCCCCTTGATAATCGACCAATCACATTCACTTTATTCACTCGTATAAAGTCGGGCGCCACTCAGGAGAATTCAGAAATGCAACGGTTGGAACAGCCGCTTCCCTACGACTTTAAGCATTAATCTATATCTGCTTAGATGATTGATTTTAAAAGCACTTCTAAATAACTTTGGCTCCCCCCAGTGGACAGAAGCTGTATTGTTTTGCCAGAAGGAAGACAGCATTTCCCACAAGGAGCGAATAGTTTGGTAACATCCTGATCTCGGTTGCAGTTAAATTGAATTAAATTTCTGTTTCTAGGGGCTGTGAACGATGAATAACGATGAGGTGTTTATTGTGTAGCAATGTCATATTACGACATTAAAAATGGCCAACGTTTAACTTTGGTTTTGTACCATATTCTCGGACCACCACCATCCGCACCAACCCGTCCTCACCCAACTCCTGAGTTTAGAGCTGTGAAACAGAGAAACATAATGTTAACTTTGATAATTTCACAGCAAACATGTATCTATCCCAGCAGGAAGGAGTTGCATTGCCTGATTATCAGCCCTGCAGAGTTTACAGGAATGCAGAGTCTCTCAGGGAAACAGTCGCATCGATTTCCTTCTTTTTTATTTATTTATCTTATAACATTGTCCTGTCTGGCAATGTGGCAATAAGAATAATTGTCTTGATGCCAAAAAGAGCCCAACAGGTTTTACTTTCACCAGTGGAGCAGTACGGCTATCGCCATAGTGTTCCGCTTGACTTATACATGGAAATAGCTTTATTATAATTATGCAGGGAGTTTTAAAGATTATATGGACACTGCAATGTAGGTAGAGCAGGAAAGGAAAAACTGAAAAAAAGATGAAAGAGGAGATAAAAGGGAGATAATGGTAAAACATCTTCAGTCTGCTTCATCACCTGCAATGAGATGGAAAAAGAACAGAACAACCAACAGATATAGAGATACAATAAAGTATCACCTAGATGTTATCGCTGAAGTAGTATTATTTAGTCTGACATGTACTCTGTGGTAGCTGAAGATCAGAATATGGGCTTTCTGTGTGGAAGTGAATCTCTTAGTACCTGGAACCAAACACCTGTAGTTGATTGTGAGGGTGAACTACTGCATGTAAAGTTTATCCAAAAATGCTCAATAGTGGTTGTGAGGAGCCAAAGAGGCGCCCCCCCCCCCCCCCGAGGCGAGCGCCGGGGAAACCAAAGCCCCAGACACTTCGTCTGATGATTGCTGGACGCTGTCCTCTGAGGTGTTCCAGGGACGTCCCCTTGGGAGGACGCTGAGGGGACGACTCAGTACAAAACACAGTACATGATAACACAATGATGTTTGGTTTGTAACTGTTCCTCCGTCTGGAGAACTGGTACCTCTGATGATCTCCCCCTGAGGAAGATGAGGGCAGCTGCCTCATGGTGGAAGGAGGAAGCTGACACACAGGGGCTGATGATTGGTCTGAGCTGGCTGGTGTCTGAAGCAACCAATGAAGAAATCCAGCAGGAACATCATTTCCCCTTAGTGACGTAATCCCCACATGAACCCAGGAACTTCCTGAGGTTTAGCCTCAGCTGCCATCAGGTCTCTGATGACCGGGTCGGACCTCTGACGGTTCTGGTGACCGGGGTCTGATTGGATCCATTTTTTAGATCCGTTTTGAATTTTCTTCATAACTTCTAGAAACAGAAGAACTGGAGTTTTTTTCGTCCTTGTGTGGCGTCTTTTGTGCCCAGATGAATCTATCATCAGGGTTCTACTGAGAGACCCGTCGGGTCGGTCCTCTTTACATCGCTCTGACTTCTATCATCACTGCAGATTTCTACATCCTGGAGAACAACTCTGTGCTTAAGGCCATTCTGAAGTACAAAAGGATCCAGCTGATGGACTTCAGATCCGTCCCGGTCGAGCATTTTGGTGAGAATCTATTCCAGTTCTACAGACCTGCTGCCGTTGGTCCAGAGCGGTCCAGAAACGTGTTGTCTCTATCTTCACAGATCTACCTCTCCAGGTCGCCTATCCTCCGGACTTCTCAGAGTCCCGTCACTACGGACTCCTGCTGATGATGTAAGAACCAGAACCTGAGCCCACGCCGTTCTCCTTCCATTAGGAGCTGTAGAGGTGATAGAGGTTCTGCCTCTTAACGGAGAGCCGCTCCGGATCTGGATGGTTTTCTACAGTAACTTTGATCATAAAAAGATCAAAGGTCATTTCTGAAAAAGCTGGGATGTGATTGGTCGGTGCCTGAGAGTCCTGAGCCGCCTCTGGAGGTTCGCTTCAACTCACAGGATGTAGCAGAACATTAAGTTCAATGACGGGAATGTTAAGCTTTTTTAACCTGATTCTGGGTGGAAGTTAAATAAACAATAAATTAGCCTTTTTTTAACTATTAATCAGAATATTAAATCCAGTTTTTTTTACAAATTGAATTTCCGACACTGAATTTTTAAATGGTAAAAATTAATCTGCAAAACATTCGACTGCAAAAAATGTTCCTGCAAATGTGTCGACCTTTCGGAGAACTCAAGCCTAAGCAATCTCCACTCGATGCAGACGAGCAACTTCCAGCCAATAAAATGAGCTCATTTGGTCAAAGAATCTTCTGGATCAAACCAATGGCAGAGGGGGGTGCCGCACTGGCTGTGATCGGCTCGGTTATTTCACCCAGTCCCACTCTAATGTCTGTCTATTAGTAGCTACTTTTCTTGTAACACAAGAAGAAAAAGAAAAACTCCTCTTTCAGCTTCATTCAGCCGTGAACAAATCTACGTCCAACTGCTGTGTCACATGACTAAATGAGCTCATTTCATTGGCTATAAGCTGCTCGACTGCTTTGAGTGGAGATTGCTTTGGCTTCACTTCACCAAAAGGTCGACACATTTTTTACCAGATAAAAATTCAGTGTGAGGCAGAGGTCTTCAACCGGGGGTCCTTGACCCCTAGGGGGTCCATGGAGGTACTGCATGGAGGTTGCAAAAGTTTTTTATATTCCCTCCTGCTTTTTTTCCACTAATGGAAATGTCTTTAAATCCACATTAACATGAATCCAACAGACTGTAGTAAACAGATAAATGGAGGCAGAAGATGTCTTTCAGTCATCAATGCTCACATTCAGAGACACACAGGAGCTCTTTCAAGCTGGGCACCGTTTCATTCACAACACCTGTCCCATCAACCAGGAATCAGAAATACTTTAATAATCCCAGGGAGGGATTACTTTAGTTACATTACTCCATCTGTAATAGAGTGACTATAGGACCAGTTTAATAGAACACTATCTAATACTATATAAATAATCAGGGGGTCCCCGCTCCATCTGGCCATCAGTTTGGGGCCCTTGGCCTGGAAAACCTTGAAGGCCCCTGATGTAAGGAATTCAATTTTTCAAAAAATTCCATGTTTAAAATTTGGTGCTAATAAAAGGCAGATTCCAGTGCTGCTGTTTTTCTTCCATATAGAAACCACTGGATTATGGAGGACCAGCTCTGCCATATTTAACAATGAATAGAGAAATAAATAAATGCTTAGTAAATAAAATAGCATAACATTAATTGCCCCCCAAAAAAACAATTAACCAATAAATGTAGGTAGAAATGAAATTCTACAGTGAGACATAAATGTATATATCTCTTTTAATTATCTTCTTTGTTTATTTGCCTTTGTAATAATTACCTGATCTATTTATTGTCTGTTATAATCTTCACCTTTATTTATTCAGTCAGTCACAGTCACAACCAAGATGGCTACCTACCACCAAGCTGTGGCGAGCTGACTGCTCATTTATTTGTTTATTGTATTTTTGGGGGTAATTATCCTCCATGCTGGACTGGATGTGGACCGTAAAGGTCAGCGGATCCAGAACCATCGTCACTGAGTTCTGATGAAGATTAACTGATTGGTTTATTTATCAGGATTTAATGAAAACATTTAAGGTTTGATTTTTACATCAACTTTTAGCTGAAAACCTGCTGAAAGGAACAAACGAGCCTCATCAGGCGATAAATGACGGTTTATTGGTCGAGTTTCAGGCCGACTGGATGGAGAGAGAAAGGAACTGGGTCGGACCTTCGGACCTTCGGACTCTAACAGTCTCATTTCAGACAGGAGGATAAAGCCGCCTCTCTAACAGGAAGTGTCATGTCCTCTGGGTGCAGTGACGGCGCCCCCGGTGGTCAGTCTGTGAGTGACCGGTTCTCCCTGGGCTGGGACTCGGTGCTGGTCAGCTCCGACAGCGTCATCGTGGCCCGTTTGGACGGCCGGGGCAGCGGCTTCCAGGGTCAGAGGATCCTGCATGAGGTCCACCAGAGGCTGGGGACCGTGGACGTCCAGGACCAGCTGGCTGCAGTGGAGTGAGTCCATCAGATGTTCTCCATCATCACTGCTGATCAGAACAGGACCCAAAAACACATCAGCTCATCTTCATTCACCTCATTCTGCTCTTCCTTCTGTCTGAAGGTCCGGTTGGGTTCTGTTTCTCAGAGCTCAGCTCCAAATGCATTTTATTATAAACAGATAAAGTTAAACATCCTGCAGCTTCTTGTTAACCAGAAACTAAAACCTGGACCGGCGCGGTCCTGGTCCAGTTCAGGGGTAGTGATGATCTCCACCGTGTGTTTCCTCCAGATACATGATGAACTTTCCCTACATCGATCGGACCCGGATAGCCGTGTTCGGAAAGGTGAGAACACCAGAGAGGGTGGCTTCTGTCGGCCCTGTGAGGCTGGTTCTGCTGGGTTCTGTCGGCCCTGTGAGGCTGGTTCTGGTGGGTTTTAAAGATGTCTGCCATCCTGTTCAGGGTTACGGAGCCTACCTGGCGCTGATGATGCTGAAGTCCACAGACGGCCTGTTTAAATGCGCCTGCGCCATGTCGCCGGTAACGGACTGGAAGCTCTACGGTGAGGAACCGCTTCAGCTGGAGCCCAGAGATCTTAGGTCATCCTCAGGGGGCTCAGGAAGTGAGGTTGACAAAAGTATTGATTCTCTGAACGTATTGAGACTCTGAAAGTATCGATACACTGAAAGTATCGATACCATGAAAGTATCGGTACCCTGAAAGTATCGATCCTCCGAAAGTATCGATATTCTGAACGTATCGATACTTTGAAAGTAACGGTACCCTGCCACACCTAGATTTTTCATTTATCATCTTGCTCCTCCGATATTCTAACAGTAGCTTTAGCAGTTAGCAGCTGTAGAGCAAACAGGATTGTTAGGAACCGACAGGATGGGAAGAGATCAGCAATAATCTGAAGGCAGCTTCTCAGGCCTTCAGAGCCGTGGTCTCCAACCTGCTCCTCAGGGACCTGCAGCTTCCTGCTGGACTGGAACAGTGACTAACAGTCTGCTGCTGCTCTGAGCTCAAACAGGGGAGCAGAGAGACACTAGAACATGCAAGGAGGAGGTCCCTGAGGAGCAGGAGGTCACTGAGGAGCAGGAGGTCCCTGAGGAGCTTTAGAGTTTCTCCTTAAATGCAAAATCCCAGATGACCCCAGATCAACCAAAGATGATGTCACGATGTGGTTAAGTTTAGATGAGAGGCGCTCCATCAGCCTGGAGGTCATCAGAGACGTTCCAGAGGAGGTTTCAGAGTAAGGAGAGGTGAGGAGGAGGATGGAGCTCCTGGTTCCTCAGCAGCTCCTCCTCCTGATGACTCTAACATCTCTGCCTCAGAGGACGTTCATATTCAGTGTTTAGATCTTCCTCCATAAAGCAGGAGGTCTCCTCCTTCCTGTGGATCTGATTCTCCATCCTTGTCTTCTGCAGCGTCGGCGTTCTCCGAGCGGTACCTGGGCGTGCCGTTCCGGGACGACACCAGGTACCAGGTGAGTTTCCTCTCCGTTCTGCTGCTGCGTTTGAAGCTTCTGCTGAGGTTCATGAGCAGGTTGTGTGGATCTCTGCAGGGGTCCAGTTTGCTGCAGAACGTCCAGGCCCTCAGGGAGCAGACGCTGATGCTGGTCCACGCCACAGCAGATGGTGAGATGAAGGATGATCTGCTACTGCTCCATCCTGAGGAGAGGACTTCTCCCACTTGTTTTTTCTCTTTCAGCCAACATCCACTTCCAGCACAGCGCTGAGCTGGTCAAGAACCTGGTGAAGGTTGGAGCCAACTACTCCATGCAGGTAAGACGTCCCGCTGCAGCAGGAGCTCCTGTCACCTCCAGGAACCTCCATCCTGCTGGCTCTCATGGCGCCGTTAGCTTCACAGCTTTCATTATGAAGCTCCTCACAGAACCAGCAGGGCTGGACCAGTTGGTGGCGCCCAGGAGTCTAGTTCACCATCAGGAAGCTAGGTCTGGGTAGACGCCACCCTTTAGGGTGGACATGAACTCTGACCCCTGGCCATCAGGGGCCTCATTTATAAAGAAAACTGAACTAGAGGCTCGAACCACGAAGCAAACCAAACATACTGGGATTCCTCACAGTCTATCCAGTTTAACCAGTTCACTACAATGGATCAGTGGAAC